GACTAGTAGTGTAGCAGGTGATTGTTGACAGTATCCGACAGCTATAGTGGCCGATAGTCTGGCGGCTATGGAGCTTCGTGGTTACTCGCCGGGCTTTTTTCTAGAACAAGCTACGAAGTTTCATTTCTTTTTTTCTTCTCCTCTCTGAGGTGAGAGGGGTGCAATTTATAATCTTTTATAAATCATATTTTTACATCATTTGATTTATGATGATTTACATAATACAAAAAATTTACTTCGCACGCAGCACAATAAAATTGGGAAGAATAAAACATAAATTTGGGAAGAAAATAACAATAAACCTTGTGATGAAAATGAGGGGCGAGCATTCGGCCTGTTCAGATGGATCAGTCTTAAAATTCTTCAAATTGATTATAGTCACAATTTAGAAAATCAAACCAATCTAAATTTAGACATCACTGAGTCCAACAAACATAAATTTAGCTAGAAAATCGAACCAATCTAAATTTAGATATAATTGAACCCAACAAACTTAAATTTAATTCGGTTTAAATGATTCGATTATGAAAAAGTCAAAATTTAATTGTTTATTGAAGTTTAGGTAAGAACAAATATTATGAATCACATATTTTATTCACATAATATCGGTTTGATTCATAAATCGTATATTTATTTCAATTAAATATTATATATAATAAATATTTTGATTTTTTTTAGTTCATTCCTCATTAAATAAAAACATAACAGCATTTTCTAATAAAAATTTGATTTTTTGGTTTGTTCGATTAAAAGAAAATTAAAACGGAATTTAAAATCAAGAAAAAAAATTAGAAGTTTTAAAAATACAAAATCGAAATCTAATTTTGAAATCGAACTGAACAAACCAAACACGATCTTCAGTTTTTCAGCTTTGACCAAATAATCCGCACCTCTAACAAAAAATGAGGGCACTTTCCTAACTATGACAACTAAATTATATGCATTTATTAACAATCCTATGATAATTGAGATGATGTTTGATAATCTTTTATTTATATTATTTAATTTAAATTCATATTAAAAAATAAAAATAAATTAAATTTTCCGCCATGCCCCATTTTCTCGAGCATTCCTTTATTTTCTTGATGTATTCCACCATTGCTCGCAATATTTTCTTGATATTATATAAAATTGAATTTATCGGATTTGATTAAAAAAAAAACATACAAAAATTCTCATTTCTTGTTTTATTATGTTATTATATACCATAAAAAAATACGAATTTATTCTTCAGATATGTTCTTTTTTTTTTCCTCACGGTCAAGAAAAAAAAAATAAAAAAATTCATGTGTTAGATACCTAAATACATAGGTATTCCATGTCTTATGCACATTGCTGCCAATATCTTGGCTGACTAATTAAATTGTTAGGTATGACTCATATATCATATAATAGACTGATGCTGGAAAGGAGCGAAGTGAAAGAATTTGACCAAATTGAGAGAGTTTAGTTATGTGGTTTGGGGGTGCGAGGGAAACGCCCTGTGGTACGGTACAAGGGTAATTTGAGAATTACATATTGTACTCCAGGATTTTATCTAGGATTATATATAGGTCTTTTTGTAACCCTAGACTATTCCATATGATACTTTGTATCAAATACTCTTTTTCTGGAGTTGAAAGAAAGCCGCCGTTATGCTCCCGATGACATAGACATCTTTGCCGAACCTCATTAAAACTCATGTATTCTTCTGAATTTATGTTAATTCTTATTTTTTTCGGCCCTAATTTCTTAACACAAACATTACTCGATCCAACGCATGTTAAAATTTTTCCATCATTAATTATTTGCAATAAAATATATATAAAAAAAAAGCCATTTTTCGAAAAAGCTCCCATGTAAAAGATATTTTCAAAACACCCCAAAATTATGTGTCCACCAAAACAAATTAACCCGTCACTGTAAAACATCACCTTTTTCTTTCAATTAAACAAAAAATAAAATCATTTTATTTCCGACCAGAAGTCCAAATTAATGGCGGCAATATTTTTAAAATTGGTTTTTTCTGATGTCATATATTGCTTTTTGTCAGTTTCGGTGTCTTTAAAGCCAACGTTTGGATGAACGTGCGGAGCACTATAGCCTATAATTATCTCATGTGATGATTAATAATTAATTAATCATTATTATATAAATATAGAGTTGAAAAGTAAGCCCGTCGATTCTGTCATCGTCTCGCATGCGACGATGGACAGATCCATTCCATTATTTGAGTCCGGCTCATGATTTTCCACAAGTCAAGGATTTGTGTTTTGCACTCTATATTCTTTGATGAGAGAGAGTGGGGGGGAGGGAGTACCATACACGGATCAATCACATGATGTAGCCATTTTTGTATGAATTATGAAAACTATAGCATTTTCATACTCTTTTGAGGAGAGTGAGTACTTATTGTATTAAAAATTCAATTTTTAGGAGAGCTCGTCCAGATGATATTAATGGACAAAGGAGGAGGAAGATGCATCAACAATTCTCCAAAAAACACATCAAAATAATTATCGGTAGGCTAATCTAGTTAGCTCACAAGCAAAAGAGCCGAGCAGAGACAAGCTCGAGTTTGTTGTTGAGCTCGAGCTCATGGCTCCATAAGCTCGACTCACGAAATTCTTAATGAGTTGAGCTAGAGCCGGCTTGGCCCGTTTACAGCCCTAGGGGGGTTGCCTATCACATGATTATAAAATCTCGAGTATATTTTATTTAAAATGTTTAATTACTACTTTATATTACAAAATGATGAGGATTGAATTTACGAAAATTTTTCGTTAAAAAGTATAAATAGATCATTTTTCTTTACATTAAATTGAATTGGACAAAAACAAACTTAGGTATCTAAAGATTCATATAAAGTTTTTCTTTATAGATAATTCAGAGAATTATTGTAGGAAATACTATATTTGAGATCTTCAAACATACTACAATGATTATTGCAAGGCTTGCTTGATAGGTGCTAGAAAATTTGCAGCAGTTGATTAATAGATTATCGTCTTAGCGTTGCATGAAGATTAAACACATACTCAGATAGAAGAAAATAATCGACACCATAAGTTTTTACGTGGAAACCCATAAAGAAAAAAAAATCTCATAGCCTAGACAAGTTATAAAAATCAATTAAAAGGTGATGATTAAAGAGATCCCTTGAATTACAAAGTCGAAGTGCGAATGAACTTGTTGCAAAGAACAGACGACAACATGTAACAATAGACAGCGACCTGCAAGTTCTGGTAGATGGAGGTCGGCGGCAGTCGACAGCGACAGGAGTGATGCTGAACTTCAGCTCCTCAAAGCTTCAAGCTCTTCTTAAGCCTCAAGTTATCATTTTTTCACGTAAGAGGGGTGTACTTTATTTATAGAGTTCTATGTGCAATTAATGCTGAAATGTGAATCACATTGATCGTACGGTTCAAAGAGTTTCCTTTGATTAAACAATATTTGATGAATATTTGAGTGTCTTAACGATGTCAGGATTAAATGATCTTAGGCTCCTTAGATTTTTATTATTGAGATTCTTGATTCGACTCTAAGCTTGTTAGATTCGACATTTAGTTGATTACCCAAATATGCTCTGAAAGTTTCTGAATGGCTTGATCCGAGCTTGGTTTGGTTCAAATTGGACCAATTTTGATAAAATTGGGTCCGCGTCGTCGAGCCTATCAATATGATTGCAAGTTTACTGAAATTAGAGTTCTATATGGCTTTTTATCGAAGTTTGAATGTTTATTGCTCAAAAGGTTGCTTCGTGATTTGTGTAATGCCTTGAGATGTGTGTTGTATGCTAGAAATTTGCTCATGGCGTATCATTGCCCATTTCATAAAACTTAGTTCAAGCTATTTTTAATGAATAAAATATCATTATTTTAGGACGAAAATTTTGTGGATGAAGTCTCTTATGTGGACAATAATGATGTAAGATTATTTAAAATTTTGCATCTAATTTGAATAATTAAGAAAACAAGTTAGAAAATGATAAAAATTGCTACAATACAAAATTTTGGATTTTTTTTGTCAAAAAAATGGGATGATATTTACAAATTATCTATTAATGTGATTTTTTTTTAACTACCAAACTGATGTATTCATGAGTGTTGGGATAAAATTATTGAGAATTTGATAAAAATGACATATATGAGTTGGGATTTTACCATGGATTTGAGATTTCTAAGAATTTGAAAAATAGAATGTATATTAAAAATGTGTCAGTACGAATCTCAAAGACATCTCATGGTCGATGGAAGAGGTGATGTGCGCCTCTCGAATGTTGGGAGGATAATGCTTCCCAGGCGGATAAAAATAATTCAACCACTAATGAATCTATTTGGCCAGACATACAAACGAATCTTACGTCCTCTACCTCCTATATATCAAATTCAGCAAAGCAGACATTCCAGTTCTAGAGCAATTCATAATGGACCTCAGCAAGCAGCTGTCCGGCCTAACAGCTTGACCCCTTTCGACAGGATGTCTGTGGGCTCTCTTGTGTTATATTTATGTATAGACTAAAAAATATGTAATTTGACATAATTTGACAACTATTCTTATGAAACATTGGCTCTCAGACATGTAAATGTAAATATATAAAAATTATAAGATATGAATTGACATAATTCTTATGTATTTAGATATTTACACGCATTCCACTCAAATCCCTAAACTTCACATAAAAATATTTTCATCACTATATTTAAAAAAAAATAAAATAATCATTTTCATGCATACCAAAAGTTGTTATAGTTATAAATATCAAAGATTAGAAATTGTGTGATAAACTATGCAATATTATTACACCTGTATTAACATAATCATAGATTAAACCGCTATTAGTAATTATAACAAAAAGTTAATAAAAAAATTTTACTCATTAATTAAATTTAATAAAAAACAGAATTTTCTGATTATGTCACTTTGATGAACTATGCAGACTAAAATATTTAGGCCTCTCAAATTTCTATTAATTAAAAAATATATTGGTACACTTCCCTAAAAATCATGCAGTCGCTGAAGTAAACTATTGACTTTGAATCTTCCTCCTCCTTTCTTCTCCATTAATGCCGTCCTTATATGTAGCATCCCTCACACTGCCAGTTCCTACACCCACAGGATGGACAGCCTGAAAACATCGCCGGAAAAAATAGCCGGCGATCCTCCGGCCAAGAAACCGGCCAGGAACAGATATGCTTTCGCATGCGCCATCCTCGCCTCCATGACCTCCGTCCTCCTCGGCTACGGTAAGCTCTCTTATCATCCTCTAGAGCTTTTGGTTTTCTCTTACACTGCATAGGCTTATTATTGTTTTTTTTTTTAAATTTTTTTATAGATTTAGATACATATCACTGAACTCTTTTGTATTTATATATCCAACACTCAAACTTTAATTATTTTCAAATTAGTCAACTTACCTATAAAATTATTTTTTTTGTGTTTGAGATACAAATTCATAGGAATTAGGAGGTGTACATATAAATGCTTTTTTTTTTTTTGCAAAATAAAACCCATAAAGAGTTAATTTTAAATCCTTTCAAAAAAATGGTATAACATATTCCTTGCAACTGCAACAATCGATTTGATTTAATTTTAAAAATTCAACTCATCATAAAAAAATTGATATAATTGCCTAACCATAATATAATTGTATTATAAAACCAAAATTATGAAAAATCTGTCCTTTTTTTTTCTTTTTTTACTTTTAATAATTGCAAAAAATAAAATTAAAGGGGCAAAATTACATACAGACCACTCTAAATTACATACAGACCACGCTAAACCTATTATTGACAAAACAACCACCTTTTCTCATCCAATTTTCAAGTAATACCCGACCTCATCTTTTTCAGTTTAATCAAACTCTCAATAATTTAATCATAACAGACGCATAATTTCAACGATTCAACGAATCAAAAAATTTACCTGCAAAATAATCGACATGTAATTATCCCATAATTGAATTTGATTCACACTCCCCTGCTTTTCAACGTTAGACATCGCCGTGATGAGCGGCGCCTCCATCTTCATCAAAGACGACCTCCACATCAGCGACACTAAGCTCGAAATAATCGCCGGAATCATAAACATCTACTCCCTGCTCGGCTCCCTCGCCGCCGGCCGGACCTCCGACTGGATCGGCAGGCGCTACACTATGGTCTTGGCAGCCGCAATCTTCTTCGTCGGCGCAGTCCTCATGGGCCTCGCAACAAACTACGCCTTCCTCATGTCCGGCCGCTTCGTCGCCGGAATCGGCGTTGGCTACGCCCTCATGATCGCTCCCGTCTACACCGCAGAGGTGGCTCCCGCCGCCGCCCGCGGTTTCCTCACCTCCTTCCCCGAAGTCTTCATCAACTCCGGCATCCTCCTCGGCTACATCTCCAACTTCGCCTTCGCCGGCCTCCCAAACCACATCAATTGGCGAGTCATGTTCCTCGTGGGAGCGATCCCGCCGGTCTTCCTCGCCGCCGGCGTACTTCTTTTGATGCCTGAGTCGCCGCGGTGGCTGGTGATGCAGGGCAGGCATGCGGAGGCGGCCGCAGTTCTTGCGAGGACGTCCGATTCACGGGAGGAAGCTGAGATCCGGCTTGAGGAGATAAAAATGGCAGCGGGGGATGAGGGGAGAAGTCACGGGGAGGGGGTATGGACTTCTTATCCGGCCGACGCCGGTGGTCCGGCGAGTGCTGGTGGCGGCAATCGGGCTGCAGTTCTTCCAGCAAGCATCGGGGATCGACTCCGTGGTGCTTTACAGCCCGAGAATATTCGAGAAGGCTGGGATTAAAAGCAAGAATCAGAAACTGGGAGCAACGGTAGCCGTCGGATTTACGAAAACGAGCTTTATACTGATCGCCACTTTTCTGCTGGACAGAGTGGGGCGGAGGCCTCTGCTTTTGGGGAGTGCAGGGGGGATGATATTGTCACTCCTGACGCTGGGGTCGGCGCTGCTTGAGATAGAGCGGAAGGGGGAAGGGAAGGTGTCGAAGGGCGTGGTGGGGGTGAGTATAGCGACGGTGTTGTCGTTTGTGGGGTCGTTTTCTATAGGATTGGGGCCGATAGCGTGGGTGTATAGTTCGGAGATATTTCCGTTGAGGTTGAGGGCGCAGGGAGCGAGTTTGGGGACGGCGACGAATAGGGTGATTAGTGGGGTGGTGTCCATGACGTTTTTATCATTGTACAAGGCGATAAGTATTGCGGGGAGTTTTTATTTGTATGCGGGAATAGCGGCGTGCGGTTGGGTGTTTTTTTATGTGTTTTTGCCGGAGACGAGGGGGAGGAGTTTGGAGGATATGGAGGAGGTGTTTGGAGGGAAGGGGAAGGGGAAGGGAAAGGGGAAGGAGGTGGAGGTCGCCGGAAGAGTTGCCGGCGGAGAGGATAGGTCTAACAACGCTTGATCTTATAAGGTGACAGAGAAAAATTTGTGTATGTAAGAAGTATACAAAGTTGTGTACATTGGACGTTATGCATAAGATATTTGGGAGTTATAGGTAGATTAGAGAGATGTTACAGGGGTATAATTTATCTATAACCTCTCAATACCTTCTGAATAATCTCCAATGCACGTAACTTTAGATGCACGTAACTTTACATAGGTACGTAAATTTTTCTCGACATATTCTTCCTGGTAGATGAAAACTTAATTCGAACAAGACATTTATGGATACTTTGCGATTTTGTTCAGTTGTATAATGCACGTAACTTTACATACGTACGTAAATTTTTCTCAACATATTCTTACTCACCTGTGTTAGATGAAAACTTAATTCGAACAAGTCATTTATGGATACTTTGCGATTTTGTTCAGTTGTATTAATTTCGAGGTTCAAATTTCTCTTTTTACTTAATCGGTTGTTTTATTTGGTTTCCAGTATATTGGAGTGTAACGTATTAATTTTGAACAAGTTACGTGTGTCCATTTATGAGTTGTCTGACTCATAGACAAGTCATGAATGGACAACTCATTAATTTAAATACAAATCCCGTGGCGACACTTGCTCCCGGCTTCTTTTGCCTGCTCAAGATCCCGACTTATTGGAATATCCTCCGACCGGAGGGTCCCGGACCGTAGGGTCCCACCGTGCCTATGATTCTAGATTTTTTAGAGGAGCAGGGACTATTTGCCATGTGGCACGTTTTTATTGGATTCTGGATGAAAAAAAAATATAATAAAAAAAAGACCAAAAGGGTATGAATTAATAGCCTCCATTTGGGTTAAACGAGGAGAAATTATTGAATCAGGACTCCGCACGTAAAGTCTAAAGAAATCACGCCACTTGGTGGTAACAGAAAAAAAATAAAATCTGTCCGGTAACACAAGAAAGTATTCTTCCTGTGTTATTCCGGTGTTATTATGTATTATTCAGATGTTATTGTGTGTTATTCAATTGTTATTGTATTATTATGAGTAGAAATTATTGTATCAGTACTCCGCACGTAGAGTCTAAAGAAATCACGCCACTTGATGGTAACAGAAAAAAATAAATTTTGTCCGGTAACACAAGAAAGTATTCTTCCTGTGTTATTCCGGTGTTATTATGTATTATTCAGATGTTATTGTGTGTTATTCAATTGTTATTGTATTATTATCACATTGCGAATATTTTTCAGAACACAATAACACCTGAATAACACTGAACAACAAGGGGAAAATATTCCCGTGTTCGGCCCGAATTTTTTTTTCTGTTACCTCCACCTGGTGTGTTTTCATTGAACTTTGCATGTAACTCTACGTGCAGAGTACTGATGCAATATTTTTCCTAAACAAGTACCCATAAGGGTGAAGTAGGGTAATGTGATAACATCAAAATTATAAAAATAGACGAATACAACAAATAGACAAATTTAATAAAACAGAACAATATATTGAGTTTTGTCTAAAATAATGTTCCACCCCATAAGCCAAGCAATTGCAACCGGTTTAGCCCTAAAGAAAAGCTTATGGCTTATATGATCTACTGTCGACCCGCAATATCACCAATTGTCGATGAGATGTATGACGACGTGACGCCTTATTGATGATATATTACAGACTATCACTATTACGTAATATTATTTTCAGTTAATTATTGGCTGCCACATCGTCATATATCTGATCGACGAACGATGTGACAGCCCATCATTAACTGAAATCAGACTAATTAACTATAGCCCGCAATATCACCCATTGTCGATGAGATGTATGATGACGTGACGCCCTATTGATGATATATGACAGACTATAACTATTACGTAATATTATTTTCAGTTAATTATTGGCTGCCACGTCATCATACATCTCATCGACGAACGATGTGACAACCAATAATTAACTAAAATTATTTTTCTTAAAGCAGAGGCCCTCTACTGATTTTTTTTTTTTTTTTTTTTTTGTTTAAAGCCCCCCATGCGGGTTTTTAAACCTCCA